ATAATTCACTTTATATTGTAAATTTTAACAATCGAGAACTGAAACATCAAAACTATTTTGACTTACATTGTTTGAGAACAATCTACACAAGGGGAACCTAGTACTAATTATTGCATCAATTTTCGTTTTCGTTTGAAGGAAGAGTACCTCCTTCCACTGCTATATCGCTCCCCATTTCAATAAGTTATCGGACTAGATGAACTTACAGAAGTGTTATCACATTCATCATTCCATATGTTGTGTCATCAAGTTCGATAACTTTTAAAATCAAAGATAATGTTTTATATAGCATTAAAATTTCAATGACAATTAAAAGACATTTCGAAAAGTTCTTTGACACTTTGGAAACTATTTAAAATTCAATGAAACTTATATGTTCAAATAAACTTAAAATATTTTTCTAGTAAACATCAAACCAAAGCACCTCATAGGGTATGAGTTCTAAACTAAATGAAAAATCACTTTGGTTGTTTCTAATATTTATTGTTTGACTTTCGAACCTTCCCGTCTTTCTGGTACAGGTACATCGAAATAACATGGTTTCATAAAATTGCACTGGGGTGAGGGATCCATTCTCCACCGACTCATCCTTTTATTTAAAAGTTAATTTTTTTTTAGAAGCACAAGTTTAGTTAGTATAAAGAGTAATTTTAAAAATTATACTTATTAGAAAAGTAAATTGAATGACTTAAGTACATACCTATATGCTTTTTAATCGACAGTCTCAAGTTTTACGTAAGCATATCCAAATTCACATTTAATCAAGTTTTATCAAAATATATTAAAAATTTGATTTTAATCCCCCACCAAATCGGGGAAAACGTGATGTAAATGAAGTATATTCAAAACTTTTTATAAAGTAAATTTACTTCTAAAACAATTTTTTAATTTTGGCCAAATGTACTTTCTCCAATTATTGAAACTTAATTTTTTTTTTTTAATATAAATCCTCTCCCTTTATTTGAAAGGTCAAGTGATTAGTAACATTTGTACATTTAGGGTGTGACGGTACGAAGTTAAATTATTCAAATACCAATTTCTAAGTCTTACACAAAAACGCACACTATGCACGTGCATGCACACTTCGACACGTCAGCTTGATACAATGTAATGATTTTTTTAGTAATGATATTCACATTGAAAACTATGGATAATCCCCCTACATAACATGTATGTGACGGTTTGTGATTTAATGTATTAATGTAGTAATTTTTTAATAACTCATGAATCATATCACAAATCGTTACATGTATGTCACGTAGAGTGATTGACTTTTACTATGAATAGAATTACTATAATTTTTTTCAATTTCAATCCCACTCAACAGAGGCTAGTCACCATTGATCGTGCGCGGGGCCCTGGTTTGCTGTTTAATGCGTGGGGTATAGAGAATATGTGTTTAGTATAATGCGGGCCCTTGGTTTCGGGCCATCTAATTAATGTGAGCCCTCTAATTTTCTTTCTTTTTTAGAACCCTCCAATTTTCTTTTCTTTTCGTAAACTTCGGTCACTAATACAAATTTGGAATCTGATTTCATACCTTGTTTAATAGCTAAAAATCAATTTTACCTCTATTCACCAATAAATATTTTATCAAACATAAATACTGACGTACATTTTATCACAATATAATATTTAAATATAAGAAGATTATTTTACTTGAAAGTTGAAAGTACGAAACTGTAAAAAAATTGAGAGTTTTGTTAGATAGGCCCGGATTTGGGGGGGGGGGCTGGAAATCCGTGGCCTATGTGGCTCGGGACAAGAGGCATTAGCCAAAAATTGAACCGAAAATGTATCATTTCCTTATTTTGACGCGCAAACTTAAGACACAATACTATAAATAGTTGATAGGACTGAAAAGATGGCAATTTTAAGCTTTCGTAAAATTGAGCCCGAATTGATGATTCACTCTTTTAATGAAACACAATTAAAGGTGGATGGAAAATTGTGACCCTTTCCGAAGGAATGGCACCAAGACAGGGAACAACGTGCATAAAAAGTTTTGTCCTACTCTCAATGCAACATACAAGTCTCTAGTACATACAGATAAACTCATATTATACGATCTTAAACAC